TTTTGTTTGAATTTGCTAAATGGCCAACAGAGCTACCCCTGAAAAGTTGTTGTTAAGGGAGAAAGTGAGAGGAAGTGAGAAAACTGGGACATTTTAAAAGCAGCTGGAAAAGTGCTTTTATTGCAGAGGATTAATAGGGACAATCCTTGCCAAATTGAGACCATTGGAGGACGTGAGTCAGCTCTAAAGGACCTCCATGCCATTGAGCAGTAAAAAGAGAATCTGGGGTCCTTTAAAATGTGCTAAGCTTTCAGAGCCTTGGTCTGTGACCCTTTTATCAAACATGCAATGTCAAGTGGCACATCACCTTCTCAATATTGCATGGAGGAAATAGGAAGCCGAACATCAGATTATGTAGCTCAGTCTGAAGAAAGCGTAGTGGGAGAATTAAAATTTCATCAGGATGGAGGGACACTTAAGAGTTGTCAGAAATTCCCTTGTCTTTGTCCTGGTATGGACTCCAGGTGACCATTGTGCCTCCAAAGAACCACACCGATGGGGTTGTGACAAGAACGGAGACGATGGCACAAATTTGATGTGATGGATTCCATTTTTTTAAAAAAATGTTGACTGGCAAGCTGATGGAAAGGGACGTTTAAAATAGAGATCTAAAAAGCACCAGCTTAGGCTCCAAGACTGAAGTGGGAATGGTCATCGCCAGCTGTTTTTTTTATAGGGAGATATCACTTGTCACAAAAGAGACCTGCCACAAAATGACAAGAATGAAGACGATGGCACACATTTGACATGATGGATTCCATTTTTAAAAAATGTTGACTGGCAAATTCAGGTAGGGTTGCCCTTTTTGCTGCCAAAGCAGCTACCTTGAGCCTAGTTTTGTTTTGGGTTTTTTTCTTGCATAGAGGAATTGAAGGATCGTTTTATGTTTATTGGCTTTAATTGTATATACTTTCTGGCCTTTTATTATTTTAGCTGCTTGTTGGCTTTGGCTACTTTGAAATGGTTTGGAGACTTATTCAATAAAAGACTACTTTGGCCTTGATTGGCAAGCTCATGGAAAGGGAAGTTTGAAATGAAGATCTAAAAAAGACCAAAATTGGGTTCGACGTCTGAAGTGCACCAGATGTTGCCAACTGGCTTGTATAGGGAGAGATCATTTGTTCCAAGGGGGACCTGCAACAAAATGTTGCGGCATGGAAGGCCCCTGTTCAAAAGGTCAGCAAGCATGCTAGGAGGCTTTCTTCCAAAGATGGCCAAGATGCCCATCCCATTTTATCCTCTTCTTGGGCTTTCTGTTTCCCAAACAGAGGTCCCCCAAAACAGCATTTGCAAGTGCTTTCCATAAGGTAGAAATAACTTGAAGCCCCGCAACAACCACCTTCATTTTGCCTTCTCCCTAGCATGGCATAGTGGTTTGAGTGTTGGACTGCAATGCTGGAGACCAGGGTTCGATTCTCTGCTCGGCCATGAAACCCACCGGGCGACCTTGGGCAAGCCACACTCTCTCAGCCTCCAAGGAAGGCAATGGCAACCCTCCTCTGAACTAATCCTGCCAAGAAAACCCCAGGATAGGTTTGCCTTAGGGTCGCCATAAGTTGGAAACGACTTGAAGGCACACAACACACACAAGCCATAGCTGTATCCCTGTAAACAAAGAGCAAAGCATGTTTCCTGTTATTTTATTTTTGGTAGCAGGGGAATTGAGGAATAGCTGCTTTAAAAAAAAAACACCTGGTAGGTCCTTGCACACCTCTTCAAAGTGATCATGCTGCCCTCTTTGTGGGACGTTCAGCATTTTGTCTTCTATTGCTTTGCATATTTTCTTTTCCCGAGAAGCATCTGGATGAGTCACTTTGGACCCACCGCCCTTTCCCCAGTGGCATATGCATATGAGACCCTGACAGCATCAGCTGCCTTTTATTGACACTCCAAGTCAGAAGCATCAGTCATAAAGCCGACAGCAAGTGCGCTCAGGTGGGAAGAACTGAGGCGGCTTTGTGCGCTGCCAGCTCTCCAGAAGGGCATCATGCAAACAAGAGTTGATGAGCATCTTTGCCGCTGCAAAGAGATTGACAAGGGCTTGTCACAGCCTGCATTTGTGGCATCAGCTTGGAGTGATGGAAGCATACCAAAAAGAAGCCTTCCTCTCTTCACTTCGGAGGAACGAATTAGCACACGGAAAAAACAAGGCAAAATTGTGGACTGAGCTGCGAGCCAAAGGCAGCAGGTTAGTTGTTGTCTGCCCATCAGAACAGGGCCTGCTCACTATCTTTTGCCGCCTGAAGTAAAGGAGATGATGGCAGCCACTCCATGCAGCATCTGGCAATGGAAGCTAAGTTCTGCAATGGCAATGCGATAAGGTCCTAGGAAAGGTGGAGGGAAGTAGCAAGAGAGGAAGGCCCCATGCTAGATGGATGGACTTTATTAAAGAGACCACGAATATGAGTTTGCAGGAGCTGGGCAGAGCAGGAGAGGACACCATATTACTAGTGGAAAACATCACAGACTTGGAAAACAACTTGGAACAAGGACAAACAAAGGGGTCCTAGAGCAGATCAAGCCAGAGATATCCCTAGAAGCCAAGATGGCAAGACTTAGACTGTCCCACTTTGGACACATCATGAGAAGACATGAATCATTGGGAAAGACCATAATGTTCGGAAAGGTGGAGGGAAGTAGAAAGAGAGGAAGGCCCCATGCTAGATGGATGGACTTTATTAAAGGGACCACGAATATGAGTTTGCAGGAGCTGGGCAGAGCAGGAGAGGACAGGGGGGCCTGGAGATGTCGCCATGGGTTGATATCGACGCGAAGGCAGTTAACAACAACAAATACACCTGAGGAAGGGGACCGTTTTAGACATAGCCTATATGGTACACACATAACGATTTTCTCCTCCAGAGATGCAGGATCAAGAGCTGTGGGCTGCCAGTGTCATTTGAGATGATTACCTCAATCTGCCTAATGGTAGGGCTGACCCTAAAAAGAAGGCCATTTGGGGATGGACTTTCTATGTTGCCCTCGGCCAGGTTTGGATTTTGATATCAGAGGGATGAGGTCTTATCAACATCCTTTGCCTGCTTCCTTATCACCTGAGTCAGGAGAGTTAGAGCATCATATTAGCCCCTAAGGAGAACTTGGAGGGCTGGACTCTCACTACATCTTGTAAAAAAAAGGCCTTTCTGGAGCCTAAGGTCTACTCTAGAGAGCTAAGGTCTACTCTAGAGACTGGTGTAGTGGTTTGAGTGTTGGAAAGGACTTAAATGCACACAACAACAACAACAAACTACTTTTGTCCTTTGAACTCTGTTTGCAGCACTTGAAGTAAGCCGAGGACAAAGGAGGAAAGCGGGAGGAAGTGAGAAAAACTGGGACATTTTAAAAGCAGCTGGAAAAGTGGGGTGGCAGAGGATTAATAGGGACTGTCCCCACCAAATTGAGTCAGCTCTAAATGCCATTGAGCAGTAAAAAGAGGAGCTGGTGTCCTCAGAAATGTGCTAGGCTTTCATAGCTTTGGTCCATGACCCCTCTATCTAACATGCAACATCAAGAGGCACATCACCTTCTCAATATTGCATGGAGGAAGGAGAAAGTCGGGCATCACATTATGTAGTTCAAGCGAAAGAAAGTGCAGTGGGAAAATTAAAATTTCATCAGGATGGAGGGACATTGGAGGGTTGTCCCTTGTCTTTGTCCTGGTATGGACTCCAGGTGACCGTCATACCTCAGAAGAACCATACTGATGGGGTTGGGATAAGAACGGAGATGATGGCATTCATTTGACATGATGGATTCCATTTTTAAAAAATGATGACTGGCAAGCTGATGGAAAGGGAGGTTTGAAATAGAGATCTGAAAAGTACCGGGTTAGGCTCAAAGTCTGAAGTGGGAATGGCCATTGCCAGCAATTTCTTACAGGGAGGTATCATTTGGCACAAATGGGACCTGCAAAAATTTTACAGTATGGAATGCCCTTGGTCAAAAGGCCAGCCTGCCAGCCTGCTAGAAGGCTATTCCAGAGATGTCCATGGTTTTTTTCCTTGCTGAAAATATTTGGGAGGGGATGCTGGGAGATTAGGGATGTTGGGGGTCGAAAGACCTCAGTGGATCCTCCAAAGGGTTGCATTCAACCCAGAGGCCACACAATTGCCACTCTGGAGCATATTCAGTTTTCCACTTAACTTCCTAACATAAGAGTGAACCAGCATCCTGTGGCCACCCAGCATGCTCAGTCCTCCTTTGGGTACTTTTGGGGTGTCCCCTCTTCGTAACATTTCTTTCCTTATGTATTTGATCCTATGTCCTTTTGCCAAATTTGGGTTTCCTTGCTGATTACCATCACCTTCTGCCTAGCTTTTGCTCTTTGGTCACGTAAGAATCCAGACTCCCAAAAAATGAGTTTTCTATTTCTTATTTCTCTTGGTTTGGCTGGCCCCACAAGAAACTCACAAGGGAGCAGGTGGGAAGGAAAGAAGAGAGAGACTGGAAAAGTTACTTTTCCATCATTCATTATGGGGGAAAGGAATTAGTTGCAGCATTATTTGGAAGAGCTTGTGCTGCGTAGTGGCTGGTGGTTCCCATGTTTGTAAGACAATGGCTTTAAAGGAGCTGTCCACGGTGCTGAAATTTTGTTTCTAAATAGGTTCAGGACCATGGATAGTATCTTTAAAGCTTGTGAAGACCTGAAATGGATTCGTCATCTCACTGACATGGGAGCCTTCAGCTGCCCTGGGCCAAAATAGCCTTTAAAGAACAAATATACCCTTGAGGCTTCTGGAGTTTGATGGACCTTTCTAGGCCACATTTTTCTCAATGCAGGGATGGGTCAAGGGAGGGGGTTGAGATGAATTGGGAGTCCAGAAGCTGTACAATTCCAAACCTACCTATATTTGAAAAGAAACAGGGTGGTTCAGTGGTCTGAGTGTTGGACTAGGACTCAGAGAGACCAAGGTTCGAATCCCTGCTTGGCCATGGAAACCCACTGGGTGATCTTTGGCAAGTCACACTCTCTTTCATCTCAAAAGAAGGCAATGGCAAGCCTACTCTGAAGAAATCAGGCCAAGAAAACCTTGTAACAGGGTCAGGAATCGACTTGAAGGCATAGTAATTGATTACAAGCAACTGGTTATTTGTAACTAATGATAGGCAACCTGTTATTTGTACCTAGTTACTTCCAAGCTCTGCTCTTCTCCTCACCTCACAATGAGCCTTCCAACCTTCTCTCGTCTCTCACGGCAGGGCAGAGAAGAAGGATTGGCAGGTCCCACATGTGTGATTCTGAGTCACCCGGTGCTACTGATCTCCATTGTTACAAATGACTCGGAGCTGCCTACAGAGACATCGCTCAAGGCTGCAGAACAAAAGCAAAAGTGCCTGAGAAGCTCTGAGGAGTTTCTCACATTTCTGCTGTTGCCACCAGCAGCTAATGGTAATTAAATCAATCTTCAATGCTTCCCCACCCACAATCCCACTGGTTGTATAATGCGAGCCGGCTCCAGTATGGGATGGAAGGAGAAACAAAGCGAGGGTTGGAGAAAGTTGGCCAAGACCCAGCATGAGAGGCACAGCAATGATACCATGGCTATACTCCATCTCCTGATCCAGCCCCTGAAACCTACCTGAAATGTCATCTCCTGATCCGACCCTTGAAACCCACCTGAGCAACAGTTCTGGAGCTTTGGCAAAGAGGACACTATGGGATGACATAGGTAAAGGTAAAGGTATTCCCCATTGACAAGGTTGTCAAGTCGTGTCCAACTGTAGGGAGCAGCGCTCATCTCCGTTCCTAAGCCAAAGAGCCAGCATTGTCAGAGACTACTCTGTGATCGCACGGCCACCATGATTGCACAGAATGCTGTTTACCTTCCCACCGAAATGGTACCTAT